ACCATTGGAGTTTGGATTCATCCCGTTGGAGTGGTGGATGATGACCTAGAGCATATTTTCACCGTAGCACGATGATCTCTTCTACAGCCTTTGTGTTCTCCTCTCTCGCCATTGAGTAAACTCCCTCTTCACTTGGGCGTGAAGAACCCTGGACCCTGGTTCTCAATGTTAGGATAATGATTGTATGACCCCTTTGATTTTTGAAATAACTTATTATATTCAACTGGGACATTATTCATAATCGATTGAGTCTTGATCACATTTTTTATTTATTTATGCTTTAACCTAAGAGAGATAACATCTTATTAAGTTAAGAGAGCAACTTCGATTGAAAGTAGTGAATCGATTCACTACTTTGTATGGGAATCCAATCCAGTAAAGGAGGTATTATTGCATTTCCTTGGCATTTAGTCCGGTTGTGGATAATCTCACGCCAATTAATCTATCTAAAAAGGCTTAGTCTGCTTTAGTCGAGGTTCTAAACTATTATCGGGGTTTTTGCAGTATAATTATCAGTGTCATGAACTAAGAGAATTTGCAACTTTGACCTAACTACAGGCTAGCATGACACATGCCAAAGTGATCTTTCTGATAATTGAAATCGTATCAACTTTCTTTGTTTTATCCCCTTAGATTTAGTAAACTTCACTACAACTTGGTGCTAAATAATAAATAACTTCACTTAGTAATATTGCATCTAGGAACTCCGGGTTGACATTTAGAATTTCATTCCACTGTAATACTTCCTAGTCTGTGATTACACTTGGCCACTGATTAGAGTGTTGGTTTTAGCGAGTCAGCAGGTTGGTTAAGCTAGTTACAATACTTGTATTGTTCACAATCCATTGTTCTTTTGAATTTTATATGCATACAAGCATTGTTGCTTGATGTGACATAAACTATAACTCAAAATGAGTGATAGTTAAGCCTCATGTTTTAGTTGTTTATGTGATGTAAACTATCAATAAAAAATGAGTGATAGTTAAATATCATGTTTTAGTTTTTTACGTGATATAAACTATAAAAAAGGAGGGATAGTTAAATCTCATGTTTTAGTTAAGATAGTTTATGTGAGATTGTTAGTTTTCTTTTATTCCAATTATACCCCAATTTTGTATGCGTTGTTTCTTTTGATTAAAAACAAAGGGTAAACGTGATATTTCTTCCAAAAAGTAATATATTTTTTCTAACAATTAAAAAAATCAAACAATATAAACTACAATACACCAATTTGCTAGGGATTGGGACTGGGAGAAGTTCTTTGTGGCGGCGGATCTGGCTCGGGCGAGGGGAGCTGGGGAACAGGAGTTCTTTGCGGCGGCGGATTTTTGCAGTAATGGGAGTAGTCCGACAAGCAGGTGAGAAACACCACAACCTCCTCAGAGATCCACAATCAGTAGCAAATCCCTTTGCATCTCCGTCCTTCTACTCCCAACAATTCACTCTTCATAGGCAGCAAATCCAATCCCTAGAAATTGCAATTCTCAACCCGCCGGCCACATCTCCCTTCCCGTTTCCAACCCTCGGGAGAAGAGAAATTGAAGGTGGTCGAGGAAGCTCTCGATTCTCGCTCGTTCACCTCTTCGGCTCCGCCGCCGCCAAAGGTAGAAATTGAAACTTCCTCTTCCGCCGCTGGCACAATAGCGAAAACACAGAGAACTGAAAACGACGGCCGCATCCTCTTCCTCATCGGAGAATGCGTCGACTTGGGGGATTCCGTAGCTCGAAGACGACAGAAGCTGCCAGCGAAAGCAGTATGTCGGGAGGACTGAGTTTGTGGTCGCAACCGAGAAACTCTCTGCCGATTGAGGGGGGTTGAAGATGACGAACGATGGAGAAATCGGGGGTGGGGATGAGGACGAGATGAGAGATCAATAAATTAGGTTTTTATTTTATTTTAATTATATTGTTAAGTGATAGGATAAAATAAATAAAAAGTAAATTGAAAATTCCACGTCATTTTCCACATCAACGCTGACTAGACAATCTGTTAAATTTTAGCGGTCAACGCCAGTCAACACTAACAGAATAATAGTTCAGGACACAGATGAAATATTGAAAAGAATAGGATACAAGTGGCATTTTCGTCATAGTTCGGGTGTTGTAGTGGTATTAGCCCTTTTCTTAATTATGTGTATCATATTATACATGTATTGTTCATAATACAATAATTTAACCACCACCAAAACCAAATGACTCGTAGAATAAGCATACGATTATCTTGGTGCATTTGGATTGAAAGTAACCAACTTGTTTTTAGGAATCTAGAACGGGGGTTAATGCGATTATGTACAAAATTAGCAATATGATAGGTAGGTGGATAAGTGCAGCATAATAATGTTCGCAATAAGATTTCAAGAATGGGGTCATATTGTTTTGTAGATCGTGAGTAGAGTCGTTTGGATGAATTAATTGAAAAATAAGACAAATGGTTAATTGTTTGCCCCCACTCCAGACAAATGTAATTGGTTCAAAATGAATCAATTTGAAATTTCTCTACTAGAATCATCCTAAAATGAAATTATTAGGTCAAATTGATCTGTTAGAATTACTCATCCAACAAACCTTTTTGGGTTTGGAGGTGTCTTGTAGGTTCTGTGTCCCTTAGGATATTTATTTCTCTTTGCCTCTCTGGTGAGATGCACACTTTGTGCATCATCCATTCTTAGTGTAAGTATAAATTCATAAAAAGATATTGAATTATTATTTCATTTAGTACGGTTCGGTAGGGTTTAAATATTATTTGGGTCCATTTTTTCTCCGTATTTGAAAATTTTATGGAATCAAGGGTCACTAAACCGCATTATATTCAATTTCGTATGTTCCAATCTAAATATCGATTTGATCCCATGTGGTCTGACACGAACCATATAATTGTACACCACTGCCAGCAGGTTTCTATCCAGTTGCACTCGTATATTTCCCCTATCATGAATAATGAATAGGCTCATTAGTGTTGCTCTCCTTTCTTTTTTTTCTTCTGTGGAATATTTTGGTTCGCCATCTCGCCTGGAATAAACCCAACAAAAAATCTTTGTGTTCACCAAAACTATACTTATATGTGTGACGATGTATGCAAACCTCACAGAAAAAACCTTGCGTATCTATAAAAGACCCAACAAAATATCTTCGTGTGTTCACCAAAACTATACCTATATGTGACGATGTATGCAAACATCACAGAAAAAATCTTGCATATCTGTAAAAGACCTCCTATTCTTTGTCCGTTTGTTTCGAGAGGGAATCCAAAACCTGATAGGAACTATACTCCAAGATAGAAAAATAACCTCTTTATATGATGTCAACTCTTCACATGCTGATAAATAAAAAATTTAGAGTTTCGAAAAGAAAATCATATTTTCGTCGCCCACAAGCCGTTTGAAACTATCGTAACTAGAGAGTAGGGGTGATAGTTGGTTCGATTGCGGTTAAACCGAACCGATTTTTCGGTTAATCGGTTACCGAAAAGTGCCCAAACGACCAACCGCAACCGCACCGATTATTCTGATCGGTTAACCGCAACCGCAACCGCAGATAGTCGGTTCGGTTGAACGATTAACCGAGAGACCGCAATATCAAGGCTAAAAACAAAAGGGAAGGGGAAATTAATATTTAATTGTACCAAATTTGCACCCCCTCTCTTCCGTCTTCTCTGTTCCCCATCTCTCACTCTACTACCTAAAATCCCCTCTCTTTTCTTCTTCTCAATCTTCTTTTTCTCTACAAATCAAATGAAAAAACTTTCAATCTTTTATCTTTTGCTTCTTCTCTGCCTATTCGGAAGCTTCTTCATGGTGTCCACCGATCGAGTATGAGGAAGGCTGGGCGGCGATGCGGCGGAAACAGGCAAAGGAAGGAACAACCAAACGACGAACGATGCAAAGAGAGGATGAGTAAGGCGGGAGGATGATACCCGGATTTAATCTCCGATTCTTTTGCTGTCGTTGATTCAATCTTCCATCTGGTGATTTAGGGGTTAGGCTTCGTTACATGTATGGAGGGATTTGGGGATTTGGGGGTTAGGGTTCGTTGCATGTCTGGAGGGATTTGGATATATTTGTATGCATAGAGGGTTTTGGATGAGAGTTGTGATTTTGGTGGTGGTGCGTGTCTGGTTGGGGCGTCGAGGTCAGGATTAGGGAGATTGGGACGACGAGGTCGAGATTGGAAGGAGGAGGTGGGGCGGTGAAGTCTGGTTGAGGATTGAGAAGCATCTGAATGGGGGCTGGGGGCAGAGCAAGGGCAGAGGGGTTATGCCTGTGGGGACGAGGTTCTCCGCGATTATTTACGGTTGACCGAGTTATTGTCGGTTAATCACCGGCGGTGTTCGGTTATCAAATTCGCCTGAAATCCCCAACCGACACCGACAGCAGTTTTCGGTTGTCGGTTTCGGTGAATAACCGCCGGTTTCGGTTCGGTGGTCGGTCAAACCGGATAACCGCCAACCGATTATCACCCCTACTAGAGAGATAATAAGCTCTTTGATTAAGAAAAGTTACATGTTCATGATGATAATAATAATAATAATGTTAATTTTTTGTATACCTTTGTTTGTTCTGTTTTCCACCAATTACCAAAATATAAAGCAAAAGTAAAAACAAATGCATAATAATAATAATAATAATAATAATAATAATAATAATAATAATAATAATAATAATAATAATTCATCTCTGCAAAGTTAACATGATGACCAATTGACCATGATTTGAATTCGGTCAAAGCTAATTATCAGAAAGAAATTGTTCAAACTTCAAAGTTTACAGTGATCTTGAAGAAAACAAATTCAACGCAGCAATTCTGACCAGACTGACAATTAGTTAAATAAATAAACGGGCTGGACTGAATGGACTATTTACGGGCTGAAACTGCATTAGCGAATTGGGCCTAGGATTGGATCCTTTCTCCAGAAACATTCTCACCTTTTCCCCTCCCGTCAGAGCTCTGTACAAATTGCTCTTTACAGCCGTGTTTTTGTCAGAGCAACCCACGTTGGAGAGCTTTTTGGCCACTCCTCTCCAAAACGCCGTCGTAGGAGGATGATCTACGGCCAAAACGAGAGTGCTCCACCAAAAAGCTAAAAAGCAAGGAGGGCTGCGATATCACACTGCTGCGGGAGGACTTGCCTTTTTCTTCTTCGCTCAATCTCTCTCCCATTCCTTATCGCTTGCTCTAGGGATTGCAGAGTAGAACCGGCGGACTCAGCCCGATCTGAGCGAACTCGTTCCGCCATGGATTGATCCTCTCAGCTGTCGAGTTTCTCGCAGTTTGTGTTGACCTCTCTTCCTGCAGTTTTTCTTAGCTCGAGTTGGTAAGGTGAGTTGCTTTGCCATCCTGAACTCGTTTCGTCCGAGTTTTATCTAGCTCTATTTCTCCAGATCGGGTTGGTTCCTTCCTTTGTATATTGCGCCATTTTTGCTGGAATTTCTCGTTAATACATAACTGGTGATTGGAGGTGATTTTTTAGTGAAATGGTTGGCTTTCGGGAGGATTTCCCTGTAGTTTAGAGTTGCAGCTTCTGTGGGGGTTGTCTTCTTCTGTTTGTTGTTTCCGCATCACGTTGGTGATTCTTACCAAGTGGCTGAGTATTTTTCACTTGCTTTGCTTGGCTGGGTATCCCTGATCTGTCATTTCTGCATTATAGATGCTTTCTTGTAACCAATTTAGGGGATGAGAACTAGATATGGACACTTGCGCTGGGGAATTCATTTGGTGGGTTCACTTACCTTTGGGTTGTTTTTTTTAATCCTCTTCATGATCTCTAGGTTATCAGCTAATGGAAGATACTGAACCAGTTGGAACACTCATGGATTCTACCTCCTGCAAGATACAGCAGCTCCAGAAGGCATTTGCTGAGCTCGAAAGCCACCGAGCTGTAACTCTCAACCTGAAGTGGAAAGAACTCGAGGAGCATTTTCATGGGCTCGAGAGATCCTTGAAGAGGAGGTTTCACGAGTTGGAAGACCAAGAGAAGGAGTACGAGACCAAGACGAGGCAAGCACAGGAAGCTCTGGAGAAGCGGGAAGCTGCTGTGCAAGCCAAGGAACAGGCTTCATTGGGGAGGCTCCAAGAGAAGAGAGATGCTGCTATGTTCGCTATTACTAATGCTTTAGATAAGCACCGGAAAGTATCTCCTGGAGAACCTGTTATTGAAGCCAGTGAAGACCTGTGTGAATCCCCTCTTGATGACCAGCCATCTGATACAATGCCTTCTGAGAGTAACTTGGGTGAAATTGTTAACCCGGGCGAGGACGAAGATTGTGAGGCAGTGTCTTATCCTCAGCTGGTCAAATTATGTGAAGAGATGAATGCTGATGGGCTGCATAAGTTTATATCTGACAACCGTAAGGACCTAGCTGTTCTGAGGGAGGAGATTCCACTTGCTTTGAAAGCTGCAGTTGAACCTGCTCAGTTGGTTTTGAACTCTCTGGAAAACTTTTATCCCTTGGAAGACCCTCATGTTGATGGGAAGAAAGATTCAATCTTACTGGGTGTTCGCCGAACCTGTATTATGTTAATGGAATGCCTCAGCATTTTGCTCATGTATTCTGATCTAGTTTCTGTATCTGAGGTAATCTCGGATGAGGTCAAAGATCGAGCAAAGGCTATTGCTGAGATTTGGAAACCTAAGTTGGAAGCTCTGGACTTGGATGCAAGCAATGGGAATTCCTTGGAGGCACATGCATTTCTGCAACTTCTGGCCAGCTTTGGCATTGCTTCTGATTTTGATGTGGAAGAGCTCTCTAGGCTCATTCCAATGGTCTCTCGTCGCCGGCAAGCAGCTGAGCTCTGTCGATTTCTTGGACTGTCTGACAAAATGCCAGGTTCTCTCTTCTGCTTGCACACTGAAAGATGTGTTGGTTATTTATTACAGTTTAGCATGTGGAATTATCCTAGTGTTACACTTGTGCCTTGGTCCTGGGGTTGTAATATAATCAGTCCTGGTGTCTACGTATGACATAAATAAATAGCCTTTGCCTCTCATCCTAGATAAATGCTTTCTGAAAAAAGCTGCAGCTATTGAAAATAGATCACTATAGAGTTGGGTATGACTTGTTTTTGTATTCAGGTAGCTAGCTCTCTCTGGTTTTAATTTGCTGACCTCTTTTGACTCTTCAGGTGTAATTGAAGTTTTGGTAAACAGTGGTAGACAAATTGATGCAGTGAACTTGGCATTTGCTTTCGAGTTAACCGATCAGTTCTCACCTGTACCTCTACTGAAGTCTTACTTGAAGGATGCGAAGAGATCTTCTCTACCAGCTAAACCTGGGAATGCAGCTTGCCCTGTGCAGGTTCTTACTCTCTTTCTCCCTTTAACTTGATAAATTCAATCTCTCTGCTACGTTTTGCTATTAGACCTACATTATAGGTGGCAAATGGCTGGGGTTGGTTGTGGTTTTGATTTGCAACGATAGTAATAGTAGATAGTTAAAAACCTTGGCCTGTGTTTTGATTTCAGAATGAGGTGAACGACCGGGAGCTCGCTGCTCTTAAGGCTGTTATCAAGTGTATCGAAGAGCACAAGCTCGAGGAGCAGTATCCCCTGGAGCCACTTCAGAAGCGCCTCCTTCAGTTGGAGAAGGCGAAAGCAGAAAAGAAAAGGGGAACCGAAGTTCCAAAGCCGCAATCCAAGAGGCCGCGTGCCAATGGTGTTGGTTGTGGTGGTCCCCGCTCCGCCACCACCACCAGTAACGTTGTCTCTGACAGGACATTCTATCCCCCAAGAGTCCCTGATCGATATCCGCAGTACACTTATGTCTACCAAGCACCTGCTGACAACCACCATATGGCGCCACAGCTGATCCCTGCTGCACCTTACAACTTCAGTCCGTCTCATGGCAACTACTTCGGAAATGGGTACCAGTATCAGACCACATATCTTCACTAATCGGGTATAAAAAAAGGATGGCGGATAAAAGGTGACACTGAAACCTCTTGTTTAACTGTTAGCCTTAACCCTTCAGCTATTTCTTGTTTTTTGTTGTAATATTGAGCTTAGAATCTGAATCAAGACCCCTCTGAGAAAAAGAAAAAAAGAACAAGAAGGAAAACTCTACTCTCATGTTAATGTTTTAATCTACTGTACCAGTGATAACTTGATGATACTCTAATATATGCACTTTCTTTCCTGTGTATGCTACTGCCTCTGTTGCCTGGTTTGGTTTGTCATCCTATTTAACAACTTCTTGAGGTTTTTGAGTCTTGTCTGCCACTGGTTACTGGCAGAACCTGAAATGCTTCATGCAGGAACTCGTAATGGTTTGTACTACCTATCAATTAGTCAAGCTTTGATTGAAAGCGAGAAATAAATCTGTGCCCTTGTTAATTAGTCAAGCTTTGATTGAAGCTGAGGATGACAATCTTGCTGAATGTGGACGAACTACTCGGCCGCTCATGCTCCTGTGGCATGGCCTCTTCTCGATAGGCATGGTTTCCTGTTTGATGGGGTTGGTGTTGAGTGACCTTTGAGTTGCTTTCGGGGATGGATTTGGATTAGTTACTTTGGTGCCAACCTGTATGACTACCAGGCTGGATCGGCACCTTCATCGTTATACGAGCGGTGATCGAGCATGGTAAGGTAGTACCCGACAAGGTTTGATAATTGGGTGTTATTGGCGGAATGTGTGGTCTCCGCTCACTCGAGTTTCAAGAGTACCACCAACGATCTTTCAACTGTTTGGTGAATGCTACTATATAATGTACAGAATGATGCATTCAGTGGCTCGTTGAATCTTTCCGAAATTTTGCGAATGATCGGTGTGAATTGTGTTGGGCGTCATCAGGCTTTGTTGGTCAAGATTGGGTGGCAAATCCTGTCTGTGCCTCATTCGCTACTGGCGCAAGTCTATAAAGAGAAATATTTCCTACAAGAAACTTTCCTTACAGCTACAGCCAGGTCTCGACCATCATGGCGGTGGCAGAGTATTATATATGGCAGTCAATTGCGAGTCCAAGGCCTTTGATGACTAATTGGTAATGGTTGGGCTGCCTCCCTCCTCTCCTTTAGTTGGATCCCATTTCTTCACCCGACTGTCCCGACTTATAATCCTCAAGTCCTTCCGGTTGGGGGCGATCCTAAGGTAGCTACAATGATATGTCAGGGAGGTATGTGGCGTGATCGGGTCTTAGTCAATGGTTTGATACATTAGTGTGTCGGGCCATCAAAGCTTATTTCTCTCCCCCGTGAGGATGTAGAGGATAAACTAATTTGGCATGAGACAACTGATGGGATTTTCACAGTTAAGTCGACATATCATCTTGCGGTCTTGCTTGATAAGCAGGGTGGCTACTGGATGTCTGTGGCTAGCTGGATGGACAAACCAAGCTGGATTCGATTGTGGAATGCCTATCTTCCACCAAAACTCAAGTGTTTTTGTGGCAAGTTTTCCATCGACTCCTTCCAACGAGAAAAGCTCTGATTGAGAAGAAAGTTCAGGTGCTTCCGAGGTGTGCTGGGCTGAAAGGGAGACAATTGAGCATTTGTTATTTGAATGCCCAGTGGTCAGGGCTCTTTGGCTTTCGGGCCTTGAATATCTTGGCCAAAGGCTGCCACGACACACTTTTCCACTTTTCCTGAAGAAGTTGATGTCTATCTTACACCAATCTCATTTGTTCATGGCAATTGTGGCTGTCCTTTGGCAGATCTGGCAATCTCGTAATTGGGTTGTCTTTGAGGGCAAACAATTTGGGATACAAGCCCTAATGAGACAGTTTCATCAACAGTACTAGGAATGGGTCAGTTTGCCAATTGACCGACGTCGGCGTGCTCTCAGGCACCAAGCTCGGTGAGGGGCTGCCAACCATCTCCAATCCATTACTTGTATGTGGGATGAGGCGACGAATTTTGGGTCTCACTCGGCCGGGGGATTGTGATTAAAGATCTCATAGGAAATATCCTTCTGGTTCGAGGGGTGCAGTTTCATGATACTGATGACCCGATGGTGGCTGAGCTTTTGGTTCTTCGGGAGGCTGTGTTCTGGTGTCTGTAATTGGGATTTATGGAGACTTGCTTCCAAGGTGATGCCCAAATTATTATTGATAAAATCAACCAATGAGACGCTAGGGATAATCGGATTGGGACTGTACTTGAGGAGCTCATCCAGTTGTTTTCGGTTCATTTCACTCTTAATGTTCGTTTTGTAGGTTGGAGTAGCAATAGGGTAGCCCACTTGGTAGGTAGAAAGGCTCTAACTTTGTACCCAACTACATGTCGATTCTTTGATTTTCAACCTTGACTGACTTTCAGGATGTAATTATCTTTTGGTCTAATCAATATCTTTTGTAAAAAAAAAGTGCAAGCGAACAAAATGGGCCTTCATGGCAACTGGCAAGCTTGGCCTTAAAGAACTGTCTACTGGTAGTCTGGTACCAAGGTTGTCAACCCGTGGGTTGACCCGGACCCGGTCGATCTAGTGAGTCAAGGGTTAATGGGTCACCCGTTTTGGCCCGGAAATATGGAAAAAGTCATTATATTGTATTTATCTTGATAAGTTATATCAAATCTCATAGAACATATGAGTAATAACATATAACATTACTAGTGGTAATACTACTAGCCATGAACTTGGAGGTACCAGGTTCGAATCCCTTCAGTAGTACCTAATAACAAAAAAAAAATAACCTATATCACCCTTATCTAAAAAAAATAACATATAACATTACACCAAAGCAACATGTCGTACTTAGATCCAACATATAGTGAAAATTCACACACTTATATAACATAAAATATTCAAATGTTCAACTTAGTATTCCAAAGATTGAGTTAGGCGAAAAGAAAAATTGGAAAATAGGCACATTTCGCAATCCTAATAGCGGTCGGCCCGATGGGTGCGTGCGAACCGTTTTTCTCATTGGGTCAGGGTCAAATTGGGTCGACCCGTGGATCAACCCGCGTGTTGACAACCTTGCCTCCAACCCAATACCTTGTAGCGGTTCACACGGCGTGACTTTTTCTCCCTCAATGAGGGTCAAATTGGGTCAACCTTGGTAAAGTTAAATGGTCACTCTCCCGGCCTTCTCGCTTAATACAAAATCTTTTAAAAAAAATTCTCTGATCCTCTTCTCTCGCACTCAAGAGATTTCCCGCCAAACAAAATGAGGATCGCCGAGATCTGCTCCCAGGATCCCCGGCAACCAAACCTCGATTCTCCAACTCCTACACCTCCTCCTCCGTCGCCGGCACCGGATCACAAACACGAACTCCTCCTCTCTCACATCGAGTCCCTAATCAAACGAACGGAAAGCATCTCAACCTCTACGGCCAACACCTTACCCGAGGGTCTCTCCGCCGACCTCCGCCAAGCCCTAGCTCACTTCCCTCAACTCCTCCCTCTCCCCAATTCCGTCAAGCTTCAAATCTGGAAGCTCAGCCACCGCCTCTGGAACGCCTGCGTTGACATCTCGAATTCCCTCACCATCCGCAGTTCATCTTCCGCGTCTGTCACCGAGCACCACGCCAAGCTCCGCCATGTCGCGGCGGATATGCTCTGCCTTGCAAAGGAAGTCGACGGGGTGCCGTCTCCGGAGATCAAGTGCGCCTCCTTCTACCAGAAGACCGGCGTCATATGGCACGATCTCGGTAAGTTCGATCTCGCTTCCGCTTGCTTGGAGACGGCGACGGAGATCGTCGCGAAAATCGATCTCTCCAGAGTGTCCGACTCCGGGGAGAGGAAGCTGGTTCTGGAGATAAATCTCGCCAGATCTCGAACCGCCTGGCAGGTTTCTGATCGGAATCTCGCGGTGATGCTTCTTAATAGGGCAAAATCGCTGCTCTTCGGAGCTCCGGATCACTACAAATCCCTAGCCAATCAGTACTTGTCGTTTGGTAAAAGCGCGTTGTCGGCGAATGACGTCAACGCTTTCAGCGAAGCGTTGAAGTTGATGAACGAAGCTTTAGATCTCTGTGAGAAAGGATCCGGTGTAGCGCGGACGAGGGAGCAAGTTTCGCAGCTCAGGGAGTTGAAAGTGAAAGCTCTCCGGTTCATCTCCGCCGTGCATTTACAAAAGGGAGAGTTCGAGAGCGTGATTAAATGCGTCAAGGTATTGAGAGAAGGCGGTGGAGAGAGAGGTGATCATCATGCGAGTCTTCCTGTTCTGGCTATGAAGGCCTGGTTAGGGTTGAGGAGGTATGAGGAAGCGGAGAAGGAGCTGAGAGGTATGGTCACGAACAAGGGAGTTCCTGAATCTGTTTGGGTGTCTGCAATTGAGGCATATTTTGAGGCAGCTGGTACTGCAGGGGCGGAAACTGCCAAGGCTGTATTTCTCGGGCTGCTTGGGAGGTGCCATGTGAGTGCTAATGCTGCAGTTAGATTGGCTCATAGGGTAATCGGAGATGGAGCTGGTGGGGAAGGGTCGAAGGTGAGAGCTCAAGTAGTATTGGAGCTGGTTTCCGATGAGAGAGTGGTCGCTCTCTTCTCCGGCCAAACGGATGCCAAGGAGATCGGAACAATGCATGCCATTCTATGGAACTGGTAATCATCTCTCTTTCCTTTTTTCCCTGACATGAATACGAGAGTAGTTTCAGTTCAAGCTCTTGCAAGCATAGTATGTCCATGGTGGAGGTGTTCCTGCGTCCTGCAGTATGGAATGGTACTATATGCTATCTATTGGTTAATTTGTTTGGAGCCAAATGCTTTGGTTCTTTTGGGATGCTCAATCTTTAACTCAGGTTACTTTTGGTTGTGTTAGTTATCAGAGTTATTGTTTGGTGTTATTAGCCGATGATAAGCTTGCTCGTGATGATCTCTCTTTGTTGGCTTGTTGTTTTGATATGTTTGAAACTAATCAAATAATGTTCAGGATGAATGCTGACATATTAGGTTATTTCGATTTGTAGTGCTTCGGATTACTTCAGATCAAAAGACTATAAGATGGCTGCCGAGATGTTTGAGAAATCATTGCTATATGTTCCACATGAAATCGACAGAAGAATACTCCGAGCAAAAGGGTTTAGAGTTTTGTGTCTCTGCTACCTCGGTGTCTCTGAGCTTGATCGAGCTCATGAGTATATAACTGAGGCTGAAAAGGTGTGTTAATAAACTGTTGGCGCTTCTGTTTACTAATAAAGCTCGTCAATTGAATTAGTTTTCATTTGTCCCTTGTTTTGCAGCTCGATCCCAACATAGCTTGTGCATTTCTCAAGGTTCTCTCTTTACTCTCTATGTCATGTTCACAAAAGCTCCAATTCAACTAAATGCTTTGATTTTAATGTGTTCTTGTGGATTTTGCAGTTCAAGGTCTTACTGCAAATGAACGACCAAACTGGTGCCATTAATCAAATCCAAACCATGAGATCATGCCTGGATTTCACTCCAGAGTTCCTTTGTCTTGCGTCCCACGAAGCCATCGCTTCTCGCGCACTCCAAGTAGCTGCATCTTCTTTATCCAATCTACTCGATTGCTACACGTCAGGAAATCCTATGCCAGCAACAGAAGTAGTTGTCTTCCGCAGTTTAGTGACGATCCTCAGTCAAGAACCAGGCAACGAGCAACAAGTCCTCAAGTACATGAAGTGGGGTCACTCGAGGGCTTCCGAGTTAGGGAAAGAGTGCTTTTATGGGAAAGATGAGGTTGGTAAAAGAGAGCAGAATTGGTTTGCAGTGACTTGTTGGAATCTCGGGACTCGATGCGGCAAAGCGAAGGAGTATCAGCTGTGTGCCGAATTTTTTAGATTGGTATCTCAATTTTGCGAGAATACATCTGAGGATCAAGCGATCATGGTCTGCAAATCTTTGATACTAACAGTGTCTGCAATGATGGGGTCGGAGATTCAAACGCAGACTCCATTGCCAAACTCCGACATAAAACAAGCTGCTGAACTTCTGGATAGAGCCGGAAAGGTATGATGCATTACAGTTAACAAATTTCAGAAGTTTCACTTTGCTAAAAATCAGATACATCATTCAGAAAACATAACTCTCATTTGCTGCCATGTTTTTGGTCCAGATGCTTGCTACAATCTCTGCGGGGACTGGATTCGATGCTGATGAGATCAGAGATATGGAATCTCAAGTCTTGTTCATGTACACATTCAACGCCTACCAAATCCACGGAAGGATGATGCTTGACGACCAAGCAACCCACCAACAACAACAACTCGACCTAGTCAAGGCCTTCGCTGCCTCAAAAGCTTGCAATCCAAGGGACCTCCTCCAGATCGGGCTGACAGCATCCGAACCTCCACTGCTCAACCGTGAGGTAGCTGTCTTTGCTCTCAACCAGTCCCTCTCATCCCTCCTGTCCCTCCCTTCCCCGGACTACTACGAAATTGCGGTCGTAGCGAGGAGACTGATAGGAGTGGTGAGCTTTCACAAGGGGGATTACGAGGACGATGATGCTGTGCATGGAATGTACAAGCAGGCGTATAGGATCATGGTCGGGTTGAAGGAAGGGGAGTACCCTACGGAGGAAGGGAGGTGGCTGGCAACGACGGCTTGGAATAGGGCAGTGGTGCCCTTGAAGTTGGGGCGGGTTGAGGTTGGGAAGAAGTGGATGGGTGTTGGGTTGGAGATTGCTGGTAAGGTCGCAGGGATGGAGGAGTATAGGAGTTATATGGAGGAGTTTGTTTCTGGGTTCGTGAAGAAGTTGCCTTTGAGGAATGCTGGCTGAGGTCAAGTGATTCGCACTTTCTCGTTTGGTTCTGCTTTTTGGATGACCGGACTTCTGTACATGCTCCTGTGAAACTAGGAAAGACAGTCACACATCTGGTATTGAAGGTCACGTCGAATCTCCGTTCTCCAAGCATATATAAGGTGAGGTAGATTGTTGTTACCACTGAGTAGTTGTTGATTTGGAGAAATAATTTTACTATTCTAGACATGGAAGAAGTCCGAATACGAGATTTTTTTAAGGTAGGTTAGTTAACGTCTCTTATATAGGAATATAGCGGATATCAAGCAGATTTTTTTCATGTGACCTTTAATTGGAAAAAAGAAATCTCCTAAATGCTATCCAGCTAAAATACCAAATAATATGTACTAGAGCTTTCACAGTTGCCAGGAAAAGTAAGGAGGAATTGGTGCTTCAACTCAAGAAAGAAATTAGGTATTACTTTGTAGGCAATGTTGAGTTTCATCATGAATTGGTCTGTAATCTGACCACTCTCAGGTAGTAGTTGATTCAGTAGTTGGCAGTTAGTATTTAGCATAGTTAGCAGATAACAGTAGCTATGTAGTTAGCAAGTGATATTGTTGATGTATACTGTTTTATATAGCAGATGTAATTTTTCGAGGATGCTTGATTTCTCAAGCTTGAACTTAAAAGGATAACAACAATTACCGAAAAAATACAAAATAATGCTCCCCATAAATATTACGTCACTTCTATCATCAACATTTGACGGAGAGAATTATGAACGGTGTATCGTAAAATTGAAATCATTTTTAAGGAAAATTAATGTTGAGATAATTTAAAAGTGTTATGAATCTTATGAGGCTCCCAACGATCACAAGCATCTTATTGATACCAATTATCAGAAAGATGCATAAAAGAATATGAAGCTCATCATCTTCATATTTGTGGCCGTCTCACAAAGCATTTTTTTAGAATTATTACCGCTAAACCAATGAGCATTTTTTTTAGAATTATTACCGCTAAACCAATGAAGAAAGGTTGGACGATTGTACAAGAAGAGTTTGAAGGCACAAAGAAGAACATAATCATCAAGCTTTCAACGCTAAGGAGAAACTTTAGGATTTTGCTACAGTGACATGTATGTCACCGTGACATGGACTTTTCGGTCGACCTAATCCATAATGCGGTCGACCGAATTGACTAATTCATGTATGTGAGGTTCTGAGATGCGGTCGACCTCATACATAATATGGTCGACCGCTTTGGTGGTCTAACAGAATGAAAGGTCGACCCAAATACCTCATAGGCTGACCCTTGTGCACCTAACAGGTCGACCGCATTATAAAGAGGTCGACCGCCTTCACACCGTATCCGTATTGGATATGGATTCCAACACCAGAAAGGTTCCACAATTGGACAAGGAAACGAATTGGGTCGCCCCATTCACGTCCTAAATCTCTATAAATATGAATATAAGTCCCCTTCAACGCCACCAAGTCTGAATTAGGTTTTTTTCCGATTTAGAGCCTTTGTGAAGAAGATCGTTCGCGGTTGCTGTTGTACGTGTTGGAAGTGGTCGACCAGGTCTAAGGTGAGGTCGACCTAATGTAGCATTCGCCGTCATCTTTTCTAATGCGTGATTTCCACCGTCTAATTTGATATATTGTTGCGTGCAGAATACCATTCGGTCGACCGAGACATCAACCAGGTCGACCTGACGAGACAATTCTTCGTATTTGAATTTAGGGCACAACACTTGGACTTCTTTACTTGCGAGGTAACGAAGATCAACCCAATTGGTCGACCTAATGTGTTTCAAGGTCGACCCTTTCTATTTGTTTTGGTTATTCAACCTGGATGTCGACTTTGGCTTTGTTTGTATGACTATGTTGTGCTTGAAAAGGTCGATCGCGCCAGATATCTGGTCAACCTATCCTTTTTTCGGTTTAATTTTGAACTTACTTTTTGTTGTTAATTGTTATTTTCCTGCTGGATAGGTCGACCTAGGAAGAACAGAGGTCGACCTTAATGGTTGTGGTAGTCACTATTTGTCTTCCAGGTCGACCTAATAATTTGTCAGGTCGACCACGTCTTTGTTTTTTGGTCAATTGTAGAAATTTGTAGTTGAATTATGATTTGAATTTTTCTTTACATTGTTTAGACGATGACGCATGATAAGAGACTGCATCAAGATTTGGATGAAATCATGAAATTGTTGAAAGCCACACAAGAGAAGCTGGTGGTGTGTCAAACACAAGTCATTGACTTTCAGAAGTCCATGCGTTAGAGTGGAGCAATTGTCAGTTCGACTGACAGATATGACTGGGATGATGCATGACGGGTTTGAGAGGCTAGAAGGTGCTATCAAAGATATAAGTGCAGAACGAATGGAGAATGGCGGAAGAGATGGCACAGGAAAGAAATTTGACTTTGGTAAAGAGGAGGAAGACCATGGTGACTCTGAAAATTGCTACCAGAGCATAGACTATTTATTGAAAGAGCACAATTTAAAGGTATCCAAGTATATTCATATGTGATTGAAGATATTAGTATTACTATCATTAGTGCTAATTTGTTTTGTTTATATGTTTGACAGAGTGAAACAACGAATGACAGCAAGGGTTCCTCTCCTAAGTACAAGAGACCTCGATATGAAAGTGACTCCTACACCACTCCACAGAAGGATCATTTTGTAAGAAAAGGATTATTTAATGCTGATAGCGATGAAGATGAATCTAAGAGTCCTTTCGAAAAGCACGGGGTAAGTTTACGTTACATATTCATCTATAATGTGTGTTTGTGTTCATATGTTACTTTAATTTTAACTATGATTTGTAGGTCATGAAAGTGGAGGGTCTAGAAGGATTCACCAAAAATCTTCAAAATCCAGTTGAAGACTTGTATTATGTTGTTACTAAAGAGAAGGCTGGGGACACGAATTGGGACAAGTAAGACGTTTTTTTAGTACGATTGGTCGACCGTTTAGGTCTTGAGGTTGACTGTTTGTCCAATAAGGTCAACCGTGACTGTGAACAGGTCGACCTGTACGTTGCAAATCACAATTGACATTTCTGTTATTTGATTTTTGCAGTTTGACCGTTGATGACTTTTTTTCTGAAAACGTGCAACGAAATTATGTGAGTTCGGTCATTAACGAGAATAGCTGGGTTTGCTCATTAGTAAGTACTATACTACTACGACTTTAGTATGAATTGTGCACTATTTATGTTACGATTTACGATGTTTTTGTGTTTGATTGTTGGATGGTAGGTAGTGGATTTGTGTGCAAGGGCACTAACAATGTCTGAAAAACATGATGTGAAAGAGCCAAATGTGTGGTATTTGCCAAATATGTTTTCGGTAAGAGCCGTAATGTTAAATTATTTGTCATAACCTAGTTATTTATATTGTACCATGTCAATTCATCTCAATTAAAGCATGGTGCAGAAAATGGTACGCGCTAACATGAAGACCAGACAAATTCGTAACAAGTTGATGAATGATGGCGTGGTGTTTATGCCGAATGTTAGTGCATGCCAGAAGGTTAGTCAATGTCCCTATATCATTAAAATTCGAAAGTGCATTTGTTTGTATTCGCTGTTTATAACATATAGTGAGTGTTTCGTTGCTAGATATTTATGCCAGTTCTTGACGATGAAGCACGTCATTGGTTTTTGTATCTCGTCAATGTCCAGCAAAAAACTACATTTTTGCTAGACAGTCTACCTTCAACTAGTGAGGCGAATCGTAGGCGTAAATCAGCACTATGCAAGAAATTGGTATGTGGTTCCTATAATTTTCTGACTACTAAGCATCACGTATTATGGTAGAAGCTTAAAATATTCGTTATTTGTGTGTAGTTGTCCAATTTGGATGATATTTTCAAACCGGAGCGCATGAGCAATGTTGCAGTACCAAATTTTGGAGATTTCAATTTTGAAGAACTACGGGTTCAAGGGCAAAGGAATAGTACCGAGTGTGGTGTGCACGTCATGCAGTGGATGCGCTATGGATCCAAGGATCTGGATAGAGTGGTGAGTATATCGTCAAACAAATAACTTGTTTAATTTATACTTTTTTTAGTTGTAACGAAGTCTTACATGCCATAATGCAGATAGGAGAAGAACACAAAGTACCGGCTCGAAAGGAGATACTATGTGTCACACCCGCTTTTCCTTAAACTGCTTAATTACGCGTATGTCGTGAGTAAATATTTGAATAGGTGTTATCATCTATTAAACTATGGCCAACTATGGTTACTAATATATTGAGAATTTTTGGGACTAGTTATTTATCAAAGATAGTGAATAATGAGGAAAACGTTATAGTTCATTATGATCTAAGTACAAATTATATCGTTTTACATTACCTGACACCACAACCCATATCATCAAAGGTTTATTCGAGTAAACAGTTAAATTGGTTTTGGAAAAGGGGGAAGTCAACTAGTTCCACTAACTAAGGCAAAGGAAGGGAGTCATTATCTTGGGTAGGGGTGGGCAATGGGCGTGTTGGGTGGATTTTGGTCTAAAATTGTCCCACCCGCTTACTAGCGGGTTAGAATACATGTGACCCGCAATCCACCCACATACTTATGCGGGTTGGGTTGGGTGGGTGGCGGATTGGTGCGGTTGGGTCGCAGGTTAACCCGCAAAAGCAATTCGTCCATTAAGAAAATTGACTAACATTTATAATAAGTTCAAAGCAAATTAGTAAGTGTGTATCAATAATTTGTGATTTTGATACAATTAATAATTTATAGTTTGTATCCCAATATTTAATGGATATTAACCATAATTTGAATGTCAATATTCAATGGATACTGCATAACACAATAAACAATAATAGTAGTTAAAACTATTCTTTATTCTCCACCTTTTGAAGTATATGGTCAGACTGTAGTGCAATTCGAAAATATGATGAATATTCGATACTATATGAAACAACATTTTTCCATGTAAAGATAGGACGCGGGTCATACGGAGGACCCGCAATCCACCCACCATCCACCCACATAAGTGTGGGTAGAAGATTTC